AATAGGTTACCAGAAGTCGCGTATGAACTCCACTTAGGTACTTACCTTAGGTACTTTAGGTTGGTTTGGCAGGGATTGCTTCTGGACAACAGTAACTAGTACGTCCTCCATTCATTCCTGGTTCAGATCTTTCTGTAGATTCCATTCCAGGAGTGAGTTGTTGGTGATGGCGGTGTATCCTTTGGTTGGCGGGGTATCGGGAAACGTCTCCAAAAATCGAGCAAGTAATACCTTGAAGGGTCCTAGAGCAGTTAAAATGTTCACTTGTCGTGGGAGGAGGTTCCATAGTCTCGCTGCATTCACTCCAAAGGAATTCTCGTAATGAGTGGCCACTGATCGTTGCGATTTGTTGTTCAGTGGTGGGACTATGGCTTTTATGCCATGACGAGCGTTTTCCTTGAATACCATGTTGATGTCATTTGGAGCAAGGTCGTTTGCCATCTTCCATGTATGGATCAGGATGTATCGCTCTCTCCGCCTCTGCAGGGAGAGCAGGTTCAGCTTCTTAAGACGGTCCCAATAGTCCAATTGCTGACAACCTATGATACGGCGAGTGTAGTTCCTCTGAACATTTTCGATTGCTTCTATATCGGTGATTTTGCTGGGGTTCCAGACCGGGCAACAGTATTCTAGCCTGCTCCTCACCATTGTTTTGAAAAGGGTGAGCATCAGGAAAGGTGATCTGTCACTGAAGACACTGAAAACCCACGATGCCATTTTCTTAGCAGTTTTCAGCATCTGATGGATATGGGGCGTCCATGAGCAGTCATTTGAGAGGAGTACTCCAAGGTCTCTGACTGTTTGCGTTGGTTCGATAATTTCCCCGTTTGTTGAGCTGTAGCTGTAGTCTTCGTTGGAGAAGGGAAGTTCTCTCAATAGCAGGGATTTATTCAGCTTGTAGTTGATAACTTCAAATTTGGTTTCGTTTAGCTGCATGTTATTTTGCAGGGCCCATTTGATGACATTAAACAGATCTTCTTGAAGCAAACACCTTGCTACTAAATCAGTAATTTTGCTTATAAGCTTCGTGTCATCAGCAAAGACCTTTCCAAGAGCAGTTAATAACGTGTCCAGTTGGTCATCTATATACAGAATAAACAAGATTGGACCTAACACAGTTCCCTGTGGGACACCACTTATCACAATCTGGAAGGACGACTTTTCTCCTTCGACGACCACTGTCTGCAGGCGATTCTTTAAGAACTCAGCAAGCCACTGTAGAGTTTTGCCCGTGATACCGTAGCGTTTGGCTTTAGCTAGAAGAATGTTGTGATCCACTTTGTCAAACGCCTTGGCGTAATCAAGGTATATAACATCCACTTCATCGCCACTATTGAGGGTCTTCAGAATATTGTCTACATGGTCCAAAAGTTGAGTGAGGCAACTCCTTTTTTTACGGAAACCATGTTGGTGCGGAGACAAAAAGCTGTTTAGTAACTTAGTAATGTTTTTTATGAGGGTAACATTTGATCTTAGAACTGAGTTTACTCAGGTTTCAGCCCAGGATAATTCGAAGACTTATCCTAGTTTGGAAGATTAAAAGTGCGACAATTTCTACTATTTTTTATGACATGGGTTGAAATGGCAACCACAGAATATTACTTTTCTTGTCAGTTTGACGAAAGCCTTACAGTTTTATAATGGCTTCCATTTCCAAGATACCTAGGCCTACTGCCTAGGTGTGCACTTTATTTCCAGTTTTAACAGGTTTTACAAATGTTTGATTCAAGACTTCGTGACTCCGTGCTTCCTCGTATTGACCTGTTGAATAGTTTGTTACTTGCTTAAGTATGATAGGTATCACTTTTCTATGCGATAAACGAGACTGCTACTGAACTACGGACCCTGATTCAAGTTCTTACTTGCACGATTTTTTGTGTTTTGATTATTCGAATTCTTATTTCAAGGTTTGTGATCGTTCACATATTAATTAGGTCAGATGTTTACTAATACAGAGTCCCTCCCCCATCTGTAATCATTTTTACAAATAACTATTGTAATGATGAAGCGAGTGCATAATATCTCAACCCCCTCCCCCTAGATTCAATTCATGTTTAATCCGAAAACAATATGATAAATTACATGTCTAATACTACTTAATGTCTTTTTGTTTGGACCGACATCAAGTACGTTTTTAATCCGAACACTGTTTTTGTTTGGATGACAAAAGAGATTGATTAATAATCTCTCGGCATTTTAAAAAGAACAATGATCATTTATACATATCACTTGCGGACAATAATAGAATAATGCGGAGGTTCTTAATTAGTTCTTTCCGTTTTTCGATTAATTTCTGTTGCTGTTTTCGGCAAAGTACTGTTTTGATTGCTGCACCGATTTAAAATTTTGCGAAATAAAAGGAATTTTCAATAAGTGTTCTTATTTTGGCTGCCAGACAGTTGCGCCCTTTCTCACCTACTCTAGATTAATCTAAATTCGCATTAGCCCAACCCCTTTATTTCCTTAATTTATTACTTCATAATCATTAATTTATGTCAAATTAAATGATAACACAAAATTCATTGTCTAGATATTATTTCATTAACTTATGTCAAATTTGTATTATACTCTTAAGTTGTAATGGCGGCTAGCTACGATTACTGCAAATCAGGGTTAGACTTAAATTGGTGGCTACGATATTACTACTTAATATTTTCTAGAAAATTGAATATATGCATAATAATAATATTACTTTTGTTAAGCTGAAACCATGTCCGCCCCCGATAACACCCTACCCTGGTTGGACAAAGTGTATGGTTCTCTCGAGACGCTGGCAATCCTTGTTGGGATAATCCTCAACTCTCTTGCTCTCCGTTATTTCTACAAACGGAAACACCAGCTCTCCAACCTCCTCTTCTTCTTCATTGCTGTGAACGATTTGCTCATCCTGACTACCTGCCTTCCTTCAGCCATATCCATGTTGAGTGACCGGAGGCCCATGCTCTTTGGTTATCGTGGAGTGTGTATTTTGGCGGGATTTCTGTTCAATATTGCTTCTAGAATGTCAGTGTTTCTTATTGCCCTCCTGGCGCTGGCTCGAGCAGTCAGTTTAGTCTTCCCTTTTAGAGTGGGCCAAAAGAAAACCTCTTACCTCTTACCACTGGGCATCTACCTGGTTCTGAACATCTTGTTGGCCAGTCTGCCCCTAATATTCAGCAGCAAGATGTACTACTACCTCCCCATGGGTGCTCAGTGTTCGTGGGGGATCAACGAGTTGAGTTTTGTGAATTACAACTACACCGCCACCTGGCATACTCTAACATACACCACAATTATAGTCCCCTGGTTCATACCTGCAGTCATCGTCCTCGTTTCCTGTGCTATTTCCCTGAACACCCTTAGAAAGAGTGGCAGGAAGATGCGCCTCATGTCCGCTTCGTATAAAAGCATTCCTGTGAAATACGATGCTGGGACCAGCATGAAATCAACGAAATCCAATACTACTAGGTCGACGAACCACGCTACGATGACTATCGTGATAGCCACAGCAGTTTATATTCTTTTCAACATGCCTTGCTGGATTTTCAACGTTGTCATTTTACTATCACTAAGAAACCAGGATATTAACAAATACTTCAGTTTGGTAGCAGGGGTTTATATAACTTACTTCATGGGAATACTCTCTGTTGCTCTGAATAGTGTCAGTAATTCCATTGTGTATTTCACAAGAATTGAGGTGTTACGTCAGGAGAACAAGGAGTTGTTTGAGGGCCTTGTGTTGTGGGTTAAGGAGAGGCTGGTTGACTGTCGGAGAACGGAACATCCTGTTTTGAAACCGAATGAAGATGTGAATTTTGGTGAACTAGTAATTACTCAAGTTCTCACAACCCTCTAATGATTTAATTAACTGTCGTTACTGGGACTAGTTGGTTTAAACATTTCCATCTTGGAGTAAGTGTTTGTGTATCATTCTTCAGAGTGCCCAAACATTTACTGCATATAAAGGTTAACGACCAACACTTAGATTGAACTTTATTCTTACTTTTTATGATACTACGGATTTATAATGTATACATTCATTTTTTATTATTTTTGTAATCCAAAAGTATGAATGGTGAGTTTTTCGTTTATTTGAATAACAAACTCTTGCGACAATAATGCTTTTCAAAGTGAACAAATACATAAATTACCAAAATATGAGGAGTATTTTGATTTGTATTTTAATTGAAGCTCTTAACTATAGAAAGAAGAGAATACATAACTTCCAATTTGTTGGGCATTGTTAACTATTTAAGCTATTTCATCATGAATATACAACAGTATCCGAAATCTATCACTGTAATTTCTGAAATATTCTTCGATCCACCCAGCACCCAGTCAGACCCACAAAACCATTTCAGTAGTGTTAAGGAATGTACCAATATTCCTCCATGGAATGCATCTATGAACATAATACGAATAACATTTTATGAAATGTTTAGTGAAAATGATCGCACAACAAAAAATGTACCAACCCATTTAAAGGGTAGCGATTAGAATTGGACCACTCTGTGAAGGTTTATACTCGTTGATTTTGGTTTTTCTGTTAGGATTAAGGTACAAACGGTTGTACTTGAGCCCTAACATTAACCGTAGGCCAAAACGTAACTCTAAACAGTCGAATTTGCGTCTGGCATGTCACGGGACCAAATCGGAATCAGCATCCAAAATACATCGAATTAGATTACTTTCAGACCCTCAGGGACCTTTCACAAGAAATTAACGTATACGCAGTGGTCTAGTTATTTTAATCGCACTCATTTGTAGGAATTGGGATTTCAAATCAAAATTACCAGGAAATGGTTTGCAATTCAGTTTTACTCGACCTTTTAAAAGCGATTGCTACAACGCCAAATTTCGACGGAGAAAATTTGGGTTGCCCGGGAAACTATCCTCTGATAATATGTAAAGGAGTAAAAGAGCAGGCGCTGCATAAACTTGAGACTTGAGGAGATCTAAATTAAATTATGCAAAATCCAAATAGAATAAAATGTAAAACACAAAAACCCTACTCTCCCCAGGGTGACATGGAGTTTGACAGCGAGGAAGAGTGGGAGGAAGCTTCCCAACACCCGCCTGCCTCGCCCACGTGCGAACAGGACTCCGGTGAACAGAACGCTAGACCCTTCACCACCGCTCGTGTGACGTCACGTGAGGCATCACGCAACACTTTGGGATCACGTGATTACGAGCTGGGCACTCAGACTGAGGAGCAGGAGTATTTGGAGGCGGCCAGGGATGAGATGATGGAGTGTATCTCCGACTCACCGCTACCTCGCGGCCAGGTGATCTTAATTTCTTCAATTCTGGCGCGGATTTAATTGTGTCTAAGTGTTCAATGCTAAGACAGAGAATTTATCTAAAAAGAGACTGACGCAAAAGTTTTTCCAATAAAGATCCAACAAACCAGGTTTTGAAATTAAATTTGATGGATACGTGTGGTGATCCGGACTACATTGGGTTGACTGGTATAGAACTGTTTGGAGCTGACGGGAACCTGGTTCAACTGACTGAGGATTCAGTTACCGGTATGTGGAATTCCTAATCAGTCACATTTCGCAACGTTGTTAAATAATGATTTTCATGTACACACAACACAATTGACCAAAATTTCTGTTCGATTTGCCGCGAGATTACATGATAAATCCACTCAGGACCGAGTCTGAACGATCTGGAGCACTGTAGTGGAGATTACAGAACCCCAGATAAGCTGATGACAGGATGCAACATAACAACAGACGATATCCAGATGTGGCTGGCTCCCTTTACTTCTGGAGAAAGTCACGTGCTCACTGTTACCTTACCTCAGTCTACTGAAATAACTGCGATCAAGGTTAGTTTTAGGATAGCTGTATTTTAACGCAAACGGTTTGTAGCTGGTAGTGGACTGGAGCTGAGGTTGTTTTTATAAATCAACATAAATATTAAATATATTAAACTGCAAAATTCAACATTCGCTCGCTAATTGACATGGAAGCTCATCTCTAATATCTTCCAACTCCAGATTTACAACTACAACAAGACATCAGAAGATACATACCGCGGAGTAAAGACTCTTAAGATGACACTAGACGATAAGCCGCTGTGTGGGGGGCAAACTGTCCATTTAAGACGAGCACCCGGCACTACTCACTATGACTTCGGACAGGTTGGTGCACTCTACCATTCTCCTGAATAGATCGTTATCTTATCTTGTGAACATCAGAATATTATTGATATGCTGTTATGTTTTCCTGATTCTAGATGTGATAAAGAACTAAAATAAGTGCTCCCCCTCCTCCAGCTCCTTCAACTAACACTCCTCCGCAGATAATAGATCTTTCTGAAAAACCAGAGTGGAACGAGCTTGACACGATAGTACACCTCTCCAAAGGAGACCCCATCAACATCCGGAAACTGATCCCAGACTACGAGATATCCCTACTTCCGGCCGGTTTTGTTTACCAGATTTACATCTACAGCTCGTTTGGTGATCCTTATTATGTGGGGCTCAATGGAATCGAGCTCTTTGATGAAGAAGGTTAGTTTGATTTATAATTACCTACAGATTTATTTCATTTTGTTTTACTCGGTACTCCACAGGATGACGGGCTACTATTTGTTTCCTATTCCCGATGCGGCAATCGCGGTAATATTACGAAAACTTATGAAGATCCAAATTAATTTCAGGACAATTACCATTACTTTTAACCAGGCTAAAACTAACACCCGGTCTATTCCAGGAGAGGAGATAGAACTGGCAACAGGCCAAGTGTCCGCAGTGCCAGACTCAGTTAACGTCCTCTACCAGGACCAGCAGATTATGAAGGGTGGTGACGTCAGAACTCCAGACAAGCTTATCAATCACGTGATAAATGATGACTCTGCTCGAAACAGCTGGCTCGCTCCAATTCTCCCTAATACCGTTAGTACATTTCATTTTAAGGAACTTTCCTATTATAATTACTTCGGAATTTTAACACGTTTTCACTATTAAAACGCTCGAGGAACTTCTACGGATATGGTGGATAAGGGTTATATAAATTATAATTACGTAAAACTCTGCCACTAGGACAGCAACTGGAGAAATTATTAACAGGGCCACTTTTAATTACAGGGAAACAGAGTATACATAGTGTTCGATTACCCAGTGACTGTGGCCATGATAAAACTCTACAACTATTCCAAAGCCCCCGCCAGAGGAGTCAAAGAATTTGGGGTTGGCATTTTTCTTTTGTGACACAAAAACTTAACGTTGTTAACATTTTATTATCTTTTTGGAATCCTTAGTAATATCTTACCCAACCCTGTTAAAATCTTGGACGTATAATTCTAATAATCCACAACCCTGGCACGAACCATTTACCCAGTAATTATTGATTATATTAAATTTTACCCACTAATTTACCCAAATATCTGCAGGTTTTAGTAGACGACCTGGTGGTGTACCACGGTTTACTGTCCCCTCACAACGGTAGTCACGAACCAGAGATAGTACTGTTTAGTGACAGAATAGCACCTAACTCCAACTCTCTTCTTACCAAGTAAATATGAGGACACATTCATTTTCACTTTCGGTTTGCTGTAAGATCTTGCTGTATCAGTATAAAATCAGATCTGTCAAATCATCGTTCTTCTTGACTCTTTTGAACTTTTTAACATGTTATATTTATCTCAGATCCTGCGGAGTAGAGCAGCAAGTAGAACTGACGAACAATAAAACAACAATGGGAAATGACAGGAACACTCCTTCAGTTTACGACTCCAATATCAGACCTTTCACTAGCCTTGTCAACCACTGAGACTCTGGTTTAAGACTGTTTACTAGCCTTGTCAACCACTGAGACTCTGGTTTAAGACTGTTTACAAGCCTTGTGGAGCAGTGAGACTCTGGTAATTAACTAGTCTCTAATGTAGTCGACCACAGAGACAGAAGTATCTCAGAATTGATGGAACTTGCGCAGTGGAGGAGCATGGGTTGAACTAAAATGGGAAAGTAGAAAATAAAGATTGGAAGATGCGACGACAGCTGGTTCTGCAAAGTATTTACAGTGATTTGGACTCAGAATTATTGTTCTTTAAATTTACTGTATTACTATTATTTGATCTTTTCATGAGTTTGAGAACTTACAAACAGTTTTTTTGGGTTGGAATAAAATATAAATCATATTATATTAACAGTTTCAGTGACACTAACTAAGAAACGAGATTCTTCAATTTTGTTGCTGTTAGATATCAGATCTTTGTTGTAATTATAGCTATTTCTCAATTTATGTGGGCTATAGTTTCATAGTCCTTCCTCAAAAAAATGTGTACATCAATCGTTTGGAACGCAAATATAAGTACATCGATTACGAAAATTGGATCAAAATCGTTTGGAATGGCACTAACACCTTTTCAACATTATACAGTATACACAACAAATCGATTAAAGTCATTACAAAAAAACAACAATCCGATCAAAATCTGAAAATTTATTAAAATCGGTAAAAACATTTGAACAAACAGAAAACTTTAATAAAAAACAAAGAGAACACCGTACACTATTGATACTTTTTATAGTTTTCAGAATAAAACTCACTGTCAATAATTGTCATTATAACTTTAAAGTATATATTAAAACCATAACTCGCCCACTGCCAGCGAAAATAGATATAGCTTAGTCAAAATTAAACATGATTTAAGGGTTCATGATCTTTAAAAAAAGTTAAAGAAGGGAGTCAACATCAAGACTTAAACCACTAGGATGAGATGACACTCATTGAAAGAGGGGGTCAATAAAGTCTTTACTTTTTGATGCTTCTGATTTTTTACCTTTTGTTCCCTTCTTTTCTTTCTTGCTCTGCTGAAAATTATGTGTTATTAATCGTAAATTATGGGAATAAAGCAGCATTCGTCATTTACAGTTAGTATGGTAGTTCTTTCTCGTGCTTGCACGCTAAAATTTCTTTTCGGTAGTTAATTTTTTTCGGTAAGTTGCCATAAATATCCCATAAAATGATCTTTTAAAGAACAAAATGAGGTGGCACACGCACACTAACCTTAGGTTTAGCCGGTATATCAGAGAACAAATCAAATTCATCACCAAACAGATCATCATCGAGAACTTTCTTGGGTTTACTCTTTGTTTTCCCTTGGTCCCGACTGGAAGACTTCGTTTTAGAGGGAGCAGAAAAGAGTGCATCCTCTTCGGACTTGCCCTCGTCTTTCGAAACAATTCCCTCGTCTGCAGTCTTTACAGTAACACGACTTTTGTTTGAAGGTTTGGACTTAGCGGGAGCCGAGAAGATATCGATGTCATCATCTTCAGTCTGCCCAAACGCTGGGATTGAAGTATTTATAGACTTAGGGAGAGCTGAAAAGATGTCGTCATCCTCAATTATATCCATGTTTCGTTTCGGAGGTTTGGACTTTGAAGGGGCACCAAAAATGTCATCATCCTTAATTATATCCATGTTTCGTTTCGGAGGTTTGGACTTTGAAGGGGCACCAAAAATGTCATCATCCTTAATTATATCCATGTTCTGTTTAGAAGATTTGGACTTAGAAGGGGCACCAAAAATGTCTTCATCCTCAGATTCTTCAAAGTCCATAATCGGAGGTATTTTAGGTTTGGAAGGAGCGCTGAAAATATCCTCATCTTCAAATATTCTGAAACAAAAGATAGTTGAACGACTAAATAATACTGCATATCTGTTTGTATGTTTCTTTAATAATAATAACTTAACTATATTAGTTGAACCGTGTGTTATCTTGAGTTTGGCAGAGAAAGTTGTAGTGAATAGATAATATAAAGAATAGATAATATAAAGAAATTGATAATAAAATACAATTATCAATCTTATGGAAGAGAAGGCTTGGGGCTGGGGAGTTTAGAGTAAATGCGAGACAGGAAGGTTGGGGATATCAGAGGGGCATCACAATTTCTTTATTGACGACCATTATCTTAAACAATAATCTCAGAATGTGTGTGTGTGTGTGTCTGTGTGTCTGTCTGCGTGTAATTTCCGAGCAGCTTAATCAAGAAAACGGTAAGAGTTATGGGACTGGTTTTTTCGGTAAAGTTTCGACAAAACTCTGTCGAAGCCAAATCATAAAGGATGTTTAAATCGGTCGGTGGTAAGTGGTTTAATTAATGGTTTTGTACCACAAACGTGACATAAAATGGCTCTCTTTTTTCTCCCTCCTCACTCTCTCTACCATTTCTGCATAATATGTTATAGCTGCATAAGTAGCGTTGGTACATGAATCATAGCCAGGTAAGCCAGGTAAGATTCGCTGTCGTGTAATACTAAAACTATAAGCTTATTAGGGGAGGGGGCACTCATTGGGGTCTGTCTGGACTGCAGAGAGAGTTCATACTTTCATACGACAATGTTATGCGTGTTTTAAAATATAATAAAGTAATAAGCGGGTGTGATGCGGAGTTAACAAGGGTTATTGTGGCCTTTACAAACACCTCCATACCATTCGTCCAAACCATTCTGTCTGGACTGCAGAGAGAGTTCATACTTTCATACGACAATGTTATGCGTGTTTTAAAATATAATAAAGTAATAAGCGGGTGTGATGCGGAGTTAACAAGGGTTATTGTGGCCTTTACAAACACCTCCATACCATTCGCAAATCAGACACAAGTGCTAGTGTCCTAATTGCGGTGACGGAGAGGAGACTGTCTCACACTTTCTCGGACAGTGCCCGGCTATTGCCCAAATAAGAGGTCAATATTTCCGGGACTACTACCTCTCCGCCAATGACATATTTGAAAACCAACACATCTCCACCATCGTCAACTTTGCAAACCATACTAAACGCTTAATGGTGCCAGAGGAGCTGGACAAGACTGGTGTAACTGGTAACATAGCGACTACTCACACGTCGTCTTAGTTCGCCTCTCTCTTCCACACCCAACCACCACTTAAGCGTTCATCTATGACACACCCCACAACACCTACCATCATCCTTGATTACACATTTTGATTCCACCGGCATCCTCCCACAGGACTGCCATACCCCAGAGGCCGGGTAGACAAAGCATCCATATGCTATCCTCTCGTGGACCACCCAGGCCCGGCCTCTCTTTAAAAAAAAGAATAAAATAAGGGTTAATTTCTAAAACGATTTAAGTAAAAATGGAAAGCAGTTCAAGACGGGAGTGATGAGGTGTAATTGTCGGTGTAAGGACCTTATGATCAGGGAATGTGGTGCTTAATAATGACTTAATTATCCACGAGAAAGAACTGATTATGCGATTGTGTTAAATACTATTGGATACGTGAGGGCACTCCGAATAGAATTGCTCACCTAATGCGGGTTTTGACTCAGCGGGTAAATACTCCTACCCTTTTTAATTGCGGCAGTGAAATCCCGGCCGAAGGCCGGGTTACACTAGTATGTTTATAACCTTATAACCTACCAAGACGCGCACTGAGTTGGACTCGTCGACGGTCCTGTAATATTTGAAACAAATATTTTACGAGTATCACCCGTTTAAAGACCACTACTGCTAGCGCTAGATTACACGACAAAGAAGTAAATCTCGAAACTGCTCAGACACCAGAATTTAGTGAAATAACTTGGCACCCACGTCCCACATGTAGATAAAGCACAATTCTACAACGATTCTGTGGATTCAAACTAAGTTTCAGCAAACATCAGGACATCAAGATCAGAGGATACCCGTCGTAGAAACTTCTAGAAGTCTCAGCTTATATTACTTAATAACGCCCATTTTACATAAATCACATCAGAATGTGACGAAATTCCACAATATCATAATATAATGCGGTTAGCTTTATTGTGACGCCTAGTGAGCTGTGTTTTGTTCTATTTTAGAAATTCAGATTATGATGTAACGTGTGGAGCGTTGCCCCCAATTGTATCGGTTGTTTGTACATTGTATCGATTTTTTGCATCAACCAACATTTTATTTCGATATTTGCATGCCAAAATTGATACTTAAAATCAACTATTTTTGTAAAACTGTAAGTGTAATGTCTTATAGAATATACCTTATCGGACCTTATTTGGACGGACATTACTTGAACGCTGGAGGCCCTAGCGTTCATCTTAATGTCCGTTCAAATAAAGTCCGTTCAATTAATGTCCGTCCAAGTTAAAGTCCGTTGAAATTTTTTTATTTCGAACTTTTTGTCCAGAATATGACAACTTTGAGAACTTTATTGTGCCGTAAGTTAACGATGGAAAGGTTCTCCTTTCCACAAACTTGTTCCAGCCTCTAGATATTACGGTAAATCGTGTTTCCAAGGACATTGTCCGACGTTGTTATAGTTCATATTACTCGGGGGCGGTAATGAAACAGTGCTAGGAAAGCTCCACGTGATGTTAAGGTTAACCTTAAGTTGTCTAAGATAAAACCACTTCACGCCGAATGGCTTGTAAAAGTTAACACTGAAATGCAGGACCGGAGTAGTTTGATAAAAAAGGTTTCCATAAACTTAAAGCTAGAAATCACTGATGCTTTAAGCATGGCCTATTTCATGCACGAAAACCCATTTGATGAAGATGATATGTGATATTAGACACTGATCATGTACACATATTTTAACATTTTTACTGCTCAATGATTGCTTTTCTTACTTACTGTATAAAAAATGGATTTAAAAATCATTTGCTGAAATTTAAAAAACGTCAAAAAATTGAAAAAATTCGGATTTTTGATGGTTTTGAATGCCTTCGAGCGTTCATATTAATGTCCGTTCATAATTTTGTCCGTTCATGTAATGTCCGTCCAAATAAGGTCCGATAAGGTAGATCACTTAACCATTACGACCAATCTCTACCACATTTTCAAAGTGTAACTAACAAGTTTAGTATCAGATAATGAAACAACGGTCTGGACTTAGAAAAAGGATTGAGGAAAGTATTGGCAGGCAGCTTCTGACGAAATATTGTCAGCGAGGAGATGGGACTTCAGGTGCATTCATGATGCCCCCAATACCGAACTGCAGATTTATAGATAAGCTTCCAGAAAATATTGATTTAGAGGGACAAACTGCAGCCGAGAAAAGAAATCAAGACGGATATGAGGCAGAGGTTAAAGTTTACAGGTGTTTGGAAAATGTAAACAGAAACGTCGTTGTTCTCCATCAAGTGCTTTACACTCATGATCAATACGCCGCTTTTCTTCTGAATCATAATTGCACTAAGAAAAATTGTAAACAGGTGGGTGATAAGAAGAATTGCAAGAAAGGATCGGAAGTGCACCCTTGCCATCAAACAGGGGCCAATATAGAGGGTGAGACAGATTTTGTGGTTATAGGAGATAACTTTGTTGCGGTGTTTGAGGTGAAAGGACTCTCAGTTACTAAGTATGAAACCTCATCAACCATTTCTGAGTCGAGTTCCAAGTGCAGCATTCGTAGAGACGGAATGCCACTACAAAGAAAAAACGCAGTAAAATTCGAGACATGCTGTGAGGACGCAGTCAGGCAGCGGAATAAGATGGTAGACCTCATCAAATTTATTGACCCATTGGTCATGGTGTACGATTTCACGATCTTCAGTAACATTTCTAAGGAAGAGGTGGACGAGCGGTACCGCTCAGATAAAACTCTCTTCTTCAGTGAAGATATAGATGATTTGAACCGGATGATTGAAGATTTTGAGACAAATTCACCAATAAATAAGGCAAGGAAATCTGCAAATAGACTTAAACACAGTCTTCTCGGATTGTGGTGTATCGATCAAGGTAACAACTGGAAGGACACATCATGTAGCTTGCCACAATGTATCATGGATACAAATGAAAAACTCCAAAGAGCGCTTGTCACACGGAAATCGGTCGATGAAGCAAAACCAAAGGAGAGCACTAGAAAGGGAAAAGGGAAAGAAAAGATCAAGAAGTATCCTGAAAATCAAGAAATGATCGAAGCACCTGATCTCTTCAAAAAGTTCTTAAAGATAAGCTGTTTAACGAATGAACAGCTAAATATATTTCACAGCGAGAAGAGATTTCTACGGGTGGATGGCCCTGCTGGATCAGGCAAAAGTGTAGTGATGTTGGGTAAAATAATCCACCTTGCACTTAAAACACCATCAGAAAATAGGATTCTTTTAATGATGGTAGGAAATGGAATGACTCCAGCGCGAGAGCACTGCCTCAAAGTTCTGAATAGTATCATGGACGATATAAAATGTATGGAGATTGATTACGATTATAGTGAAGAAGAGGGTGATATTAATCATTTTTTAGATGAAGCTCACAGATCGTTATTACTGCGTGACGATACAACTACGAGTAAAATTGTATTACTGGTAATCCGAAGATGCTTGGCCAAAAGTATAAAGACTTTTATTGCAAGATTTAACCACGTGTTTGTTGATGATCATCAAAATCTGCTTGATTGTATTCGCTGTGATATTTCACAAGCCAAAGGCTTGAATGATGGAAACATCATTTCTGAAGGATTGCTTCCTATTTTGAAGACGAGTGATAAAAACAAAACTGGTATCTGGATATTTTGTGATAAAGCACAATCGGTATTTGATGCGATTACCCCTCTCATGATTTATGATCTTCATATTGATCTCATTAATAGCCAATTTAATGCAGTCAGGGATGAATTCAGAAAATATTTCGTGAACTCAGAGAATTTAACAGTGGTTTTAAGAAACACGTACGAAATTTC